AGACAGACAGACAGACAGATAGATAGATAGATAGATAGATAGATAGATAGATAGATAGATAGATAGATAGATAGATAGATAGATAGATAGAGCAAAAGTTACAAGGAAGTTTGACGAATAAGAAACTTATTAGAAATACTCTTTGGCAAAAAGGTAAGGTTAAAGCGATAGTTCACCCCAAAATAAAAATGTATAGGCCTATCTACTGTCATCGTTCCAAAATGACTTTCTTCCACTAAAGGAGATGAAAAGTGAATTGGTGAATGGAGGTTGTCAGTCTCTAACAACTACTTTTTTGTGTGTTCTGCTGAAGAAAAAACATCATGCAGGTTTGAATCAACATGAGGGTCAGTGCATAATGACAGAATTGTTATTTTCGTGTGAACTATCAATTTAACATTTCAGTACGGTCTTGCTGATGTGAAAGGTTGGACTGAGAAACACTGAAGAATTTAAATTTTTGTGTGGACTATCCATTTAGCACTTCAATATGTCAATACTGATGCTTAAACACTTGACTGAGAAACATTGCTTGTCAGTAGTAGAGCCCCTTAAAAGAGAGAGTCAGAACTACGATGAAAATGTAAATGCTGACGGTACAAATATTCTGGCTCTATCTCACCACTGGTGTTTTTGGGGGGGTTTTTTTACAACTGTTAAAGGATAGTTGACAAAAAAAAAAGAAAATTCTATTATAATTCATATAATTCCAAAACTGTATGTCTTTCTTTCTTCTGTGGAACATACAATTATAATTTAAGAAATGTCTCAGTGTTTTTTGTCCATACTGTGGAAGTCAGTGGTCACCAAAACGGTTTGGTTACCAAAATTCTTCAAAATATATTCTTTTGTGTTCTGCAGAAGAAAGAAAGTCATATAGGTTTTGAATAACATGAGGGTGAGGATATGACAGAATTCTCTTAATGTTAATCTCTTAATGATTCGAAACGGACCATATTTGTGGTTCACAATATCTTTGCACTACAGTATGTGTCTGTGTGTATTGTGTCAGCTGCTGGTGCACTGCAATTTCTATTGTGGCTCTATCAACAACAGTTCCCCCAACAGCTGCATTGATTAGCACAGGCCTCTTGGCCAAAACTAGCTGCACATCTCTATGCAATGACAGACGAGTCCTTTGCGACAAGCTACAGAGGGGCACCCACCTTGCAGATTTGGAAGTGCTCAGACATCAGTGTCTCCTGGATTTCCAGCTCCCGCGGTGTCGGTGCCGTACTGGGGGTCCCAGCCGCACTGCCGCACGCGGGTGATCCACCTGGATTGACAGGTGAAGAAGTGGTCAACCCGTCCAAAACCTTGCGGAACTTCTTCATCTTTATCCTTGTGTTTATACTTCAACGTTTCTCTTGAACAATCTCAAAACGTGCCGTCGAGACGGTTAAAACGGCATAGGAGATGATGCGGCTTCACAGCACGAATTCAAGACTCCGGTTTTCTTCTTCCTTTCACAATTTATGTGCACAAAAAGTCGCAGAAAAACCTCATCTTCCAAAATAAGGCTGTTGATCACAAAAAGAAGATGATGGATTTGGGGGGAAAGGCGAGTTGAGGTTCAGTGCGCATTAAAGCCTGAACCAGGCTGGAGAAGAACCAAGAAACTTCATGGCACTTACGCAGGACGGTATCGCATCCAACTAGTAAACGTTCTCAGGAGGCATGTCAGAAACATAGTAAAGTACAATTGACTTTGGTCAAATGAATGTTACTTGCCGTATTTTATCGCGATTCAATCGCTGTACACGGCAAAATTCACGCTGAACGCTTGTTGTTTGGGATCCCAGACGCAGAAGAGACACGCCGCAGAGAAGCAGCGTATAGCGACGTGCCAACGTCGAAAATGGATCAGAAACTGCCGCGAAAGGACATGAAATTTCACGATCTGAAAGATTGTCTGTGAAATCCCCTTCTCTATTTCTTTCTTCTGAGTAATTTGGGAGAAGAGGAGGCGAGCACCCTCGACCAGCACCCAGAATCTCTCCCGCAGTCGAGTGCGAGCTGCTGTCCAAGGTGCTGAAAGATTGAGCGAAAGACAGCCACACCCATCTCTGTCCTGGTTGGACCATGTGCTACGGCCCTACTGTAATCCCCGCCTTCCAGCTGCAGCGATTGGACCATGTGCTTCATTAACCACAAACAATGAAATAGTGATTTAATTATTTGCAGAATTTTTCTTAAACTTAATATTACCTATATTGCACCAAACTATATTCAAATAAACAGTAATTTTTCATGCCAACAACTTAAATTGAAATCTTTCAGATATTTAAAAACAGCGGACCACAAACGTCCATAACATTATGTTGGCATCCAGTTTGACATCGGTATACATCTGAACGTCCTGCAGTGTTGCTGGCTGTGGCTGAGTTCATGTCAACGTAGAGGTGTAGTTTAGGCTTTCATTGTTAAATGACCAGTCTCAAAACAACTGAAAAAGATTCATATTCGCTTAAGAATTACACAAAGAATTAAAATGCTATACCAAACTTAAGGAGGTACGTTGGAGCAGTGGCTGAATTGTGGTTACCTAGTTATGGTCACACTCTATACATCCCATCCCGTCCATAATGTGACTCCTCTGAGAGGCAGCAGTGGCCTCTAGGAGGCGATGTGATGTGCATCTCGCAGATGCAGATTACATAAACGTTTACATCATCTCTCCCCTCGGTACGGTTTATCCATTGAGTCTTTTCCGCTGAAATCTGCTCATGTTGTTGATACCAGTTACAGAGATTTGTATGCTGATGATGCTTCTGTGAATTTTATTCGGAATCTTATGATTACATGGAACATCATATACACAAACGAAGTTATAAATCCAAACCAAGTTTTTTTTAATTTTTTCTAATTTACCGAATGTATTATAGTCTACTATAGATATCTGTTTAGACTATATATAGTATAGACTATCAAAAAGAACAGTATGCAATGAAGATTAAGACAAGCAGTCATCAGTTCGGCAAGGATTTGTTTAGTCTAAATCAGTGAATCTCAACCTTTTGGCGTACCGGACCCCAGTCCAATTCAGAACCATCCTCAAGGACCCCCCAGAACAAAATTGACTCATCTATGTATCATTTGTGTCTTTGTGAGGACCAAATGCAGTCAAGTATAATTCAAGTTAGTTGACTTGTCCAGTATTTGGCCATATCATCAGATATATTGGATTTTTTTTTCATGGTAGCATGTCATGTATAAATATACTAAATTTATACAAAAACCACGGACCCCTGGTTGAGAAACACTGGTCTAAATAACCACATTTCAGTTTTAAACAACATATTTTATGTCTTAATCTTTTATTTGTTCTGTTCTTTGGATATTATATGATGCGCAAAAAGCACATTGGCTGATCACAAAAGCAAGTGTTCCTCATTTGCATTTCAAACTCCATTCCAACTAAACTTTTAACTATAACTTTCATTATTTAAAATTACAGCTTCTAAAAGATGCTTGGAACAACTTACCTGCAAACTACCTTTAAAACTGTGGAAGTTGATTTAATTTAGTTAATTTATAAAAATTATTCATTATATTTTTAAATATAATATTATATATATATATATCATCTATATATACAGTAACAGTATATACACATTCACACACACAAACACACATACACAAACACACTTTTTAACACTATTAAACCATTTGTAGGTGCCTCAAAACTGCTAACAATCAAGAGATCTTGCAGATTATTTTGTATGTTCCGTAGAGATCTGGGTGCTTAAAGGTACTTAGTTTTGGAATCAGAAACACTGCATTCTCTTTCATTGCATCCTCTTTCACAAGACTAGAGGGGAGTTCATAATTACCATGATTACAGAGTAGAAACATTATGCTTTCTAGTATTTTTATCCTGACATTTTCCGTTATTAGTTGCTTTGACTGTTTATTGGTTATAAAATTATAGATCAGACTCAAGCTCCCCCAATTAACTGACTAGAAGCTCAGTAGGCTGCCACATGTAATTGCTTTTTAAAATCTCTTCATTAAATATACTTTTCATCATGAATGCCAAGGCCTCTTTATTGGCACATACTCCAGACAACATTTTCTATGACTGTCTAAAGAACAAAATCTGTCTGAACTTTAAAAGTACGAGAGATACAAACAAAACATTTGTAACCAAAATGTTCTTCAATTCTACGATGTTGTAAATGCAATAAGGTTTAAAAAAAAAGATTAGGTTTATTGTGGTAATTTAGCTCGTCACTTGACACACATCCCCAAATGGATTTGTTTATCTTTATAATGTGGCCTATCACGACTGATGTATGTAAG